AACATGTGTGGGTTTGGGTAATTAGACAATTTAACCGAATGCCGATTGCATGAGCGAGCTCGTTTTGGTTCAGTTGTAATTGCAAATTAACAGAAGGAATAGCTTCAAGGAACTCATGGCCTGAACCATTAAGCAGTGAGGAGAATAAGGTACGGTCAGATAATTGCATTCTGGAAAGGAGTAATTCAACGAAGAATGCAATAATAGGCCTCTCCCAGTCCTTTTGCTTATTCGATTCAGGAAGAGGGTGGTTAGCAATAATTCGTGCCTTCCATTCGATGATTGCATCATTATAAGAAGAGTCGGGTTTTAATGAAAGAGAATTTACTATATTTTTAGTTAAAAGACAACTGGATATGAAGGCTGTTAAGGCGAGATCAGATGGAAATCTGAAACCAAGACCTCCCATCTTGGTAGGTAAAGAGGCTTGTGTCCATGCAATTTCATCGAATTTAAGGTTTAGAATATTTTTGATAAGGACTTTGATCCCATTTTCATAAACTCCAAGAGGAATGAGGAATTTAAATATGGCGGTTGAACAAAGTGCATAAAGAATACGGGGAATATTGAAAAAATTACGAGGAAAAAGGCTTTATGGGAGGGAAGTAGGGAGAACAAATTGGCCAACTCAAAAAGAGTTTTCAATGTGGACTGAAGGAAGGAAGATATAGCCGAGTTACCACCAACAGGGGCACCCAAATGATGAAGTCCATCAAGGGTAGTTAGTTTGAATTTATTTGAATCAGGTTCGATGGAATTGATAGGGATGAATTATGATTTCTAAGAATTGATGGAGAGTCCAATAGCGGATCCAGCCTCCTTGATAATATATACGGCTTCAATATACCATAAATGTAAGGATAATGAGCAGATCGTATTAATGAATTCAATGATGTCATTAATACCTAAAGAGAAGAATAGGGAACCTAGAGGGTCTCCCTGTTGATTGCCCTCGATGGAAGGAATTTTAAAGGTATCAAATTGAAGGTTGGAAGGCTGTTGATAACAAGAATAAAAGAACTTTGTGTAACTGGGAAAAAGAGTACTAGAGGAACTCAGGAAGGAGTTCTGGGAGAGTGTATTGCAACTCTAAGGTCTATTTTAATTAAGGATTCAATAGAGGGTAGATTTTCAAGATATAATCTAGTCATATGTACCACCGCTTCACAGCCACCTGGGATCCCAACACCAAGTTGGAAGGCGCTTAAAAGACGTGAAGCATCATGCTTAATTCGAGATGATATCATCTTCACGACTAAACAACGAAAGGTAGAACCAATGGCTATTGGTCTGATATAATTATTGGGCTTTTGAAGTGCGATTAGCCTAGCACCAAAGAGGATAGGAGAAACAAAATATGGAACATCACCGTTTAAAATTTTGTTGCAGAAGTTAGTTAAATAAGAAAGAATGGATGTTTGTGAGCGTGTAGAGGGGGAAGTGATGTCCTGGAGAAAAATGGGGCGAATTATATCAAGACCATGAGCTAAATCACTATGAAAGGAAAAAATAGCTTTCCTCACTTCTTCTGAAGTAAAAAGAGAAGCACAAGTTGAGTAAGGTTGAGGGGAAATTGGGATAATGTTAGCTGTGAGGTGTTTTTGACATAACTTTATATAAGAGGACATGGAAGGCTCAGCCAGAGAGTCATGTGTGGACACCAATCGGAGTGCATATTTAATATTGAGATTGTCAATTTTCTTGCAAATCAGATTGGCCTTCATCTCTATTTGTGAGTGTTTTCTTTTATTTAAGACAGGCTGTGACATTTTGTATTCATGAAGATGGGGAGTTTTAATCGAGGCAGCATCCTTGACTTGCTGAGTAAGGGATTTAGGTAAATTGTTGTCAGGCACTCTAAAAATATTATATCCAAAGAATAGTAATTTTAGTATTCATGCTCATTGCTAAAGTTCAGCAATAGAGAGGATAGACATTCAGCAAAAGATTTAGCAACGGACAATCTAGCACCTTTGGGGATACTATAAATAATATTTGGTTTGGGATAGTCATGAAAAATATCTGAGACACTGTATTTGAATTGTGGAGAGGTGGAACAAAATTTTCTGGAGGGATAATCGTAAGATTGATATGGAACAGAGGAGCGGAGACAGAATGTGGACATCTGAGTGAAGGAGGTCCATAAACTTGTAAGGTTAATGATGCTTGGTACCTTAAGGTACCATCTATCAAATTTGAATTTTGTTCATTTTTCATTTGGATAGGCACTACCAAATATATTTATAATATATATTTAAAAAATCGTAATTTTTGGAAAGCCTCTATGGCCTAGTAGGCAAGAGCTTGGTTTACTTATCCCATTCTCCCGGGTTCGAATCCCGGCAATGATCATGTTTTTTTTCTTATTCTAACTTGGTGGTTCCATCCTTGGGGGGATAATATATAGGAGGCCGGACTCGACCACTTGATTCCGTATTAATATATTAAATAATAAGGATCTTATTACATTTTAATAAATTTTGGTCGGTATATAGCAAATTAGGTTGGTATTTAGAATATTTCCATACATTCACTTGGTAGTAAGCATCATTAACCAACTTGTAAGCATCCATCTTTTCTTATATGTACTAATTTTTGACATGAGGGACAGATTTGTGATGAAGACATAAAGATAATGATAAATTAAGGATTCATCTTATTGAAATAATAAATTTGATTCCATGAATAAATATTAGAACCCCGAAACATTTTTGGATAATGAAATTATAAGATTATTTTTGAATTATTTCATAAATAAAAATAAGAATTTTAAAAACATTTTGCGATAATAAAAATATATGAGAAAATTTTGTTGAAAGAGAAAATCCAGAAACATTGAAAACAATATACATTTATAAATAAGAATAATCAAAAACTAATTTCTTGAATGAAGAAATTAAAATTGAAAATTTTGTAGAATAAAAAATTTATATAATGTAAGGATAATAATTAAGCATTTCTAATGTATTTCGACGGTCAGTATAAATAATATCCTCTTCTTTAAAAAGACAATCAAAATAATAATTTTAAATGTGATTTATATTTTCAGTGAAGTCATACAATCGTATAGGCTATTCCAACTTGTTATGCATCTCTTATCTTATCCTCAGAAGATTGGGGTCTTCCATATGCATTCCATTTTTGCATATTTTCCCAAAATATTAAAAAAAAATTATCTACTAACCATCACTGATTTCATTAAATTCAAATGGGTCATCCTCATCCTTAAAATAATTATCAGGATTTTTTAATTTTACACCATATTCAGTAAACGGCTTGACAAAATTGAATGCATTATCTGTAATAGTAGCAATTAATTTAACAGAGATCCCAAACTCTATAGACTTCTATTTTTAAAATATATAAAATATAATTTTAAAATAATATATTACCCAGTAATAGGTAACTCTCATAAATCGGGTTTTTGATTATAAAAAAATTTCCAACTAAAATTTTAAGATTGGGATTTAATTCAAGGAAACTTATTATTATAATTTCACTTTCATTAACATCTCCTTTACTACCATGAGTGTTAATCATCCAACAAATTAAAAAATATCACATATAATTGAAAATGATATTCTATCAAGTTACATTTATATATAAAATATACTCTTAGCTAAACTTATTTGTTTTGATGTTGTTATATTTTATCTATAATACTTAATGTGAGTTATAAATTTTCTTGCTAATTTTGCTTCTCAATATATTTAAAATATGAAGGAAAAAAAATATGGAAACTAATACAAGATTCCACGATGAAAAGGAGGTTAAATTCTATGATATTTAAATTGTTTAAACATGAATATTAAAAATATCTGTATCTTTTGTCAAGAATAGGTAAAGATAGAAGATTCTTTTCAGAATAGAGGATCTTCTTAGATATCGATACTAGTATCTTATTAAAAATGTCAAAAAGATACTGAATAAAGATACAAATGGATCTTGTATCTTAGATATAAGTATTCGCGGTACTGTCTAACTCTGTATATACGTATATTTTTTAAAATGGTGTATCTTTTAAATAATCATTTTATCAAATATTTAAATTATTCGTTAATAAAATTAGAGCTAACATTCGTATTTAAATTAATACCACCAATCAAAAAATATTTTATTTGTTTCTGGCATCTGTCACATTATTATTATAGTAAAATTTTGTTTAAAATTTCCTAAAACAAAATTAAACCAAATATTTATAAATCTTAAGATGCATTGAGAAGGAGAGGAAATAAAATGGCTCTTTTAGATATTGTATGCGAATTTTAGATGAAAATAGGTAAAATATATTACTGTAAAAGTGTTATTGATGCTTTTATTATAGACTTATTTAACATAATCGATTTCTAAACATCGATTATGTTTATATATACAATCATAGGCACTGAAAAATTTTATATAAATACTTATTTTAGGATAATTTTATGCTATATTTTTAAATGTAATTTAGAAAAGGTAGACATTCTATCTGCAAATTTTCATGCCAAACAATACACTATAATAATACATTTATCGTAAATGAATAGAAAGATTTTAATTCATATTAAAAAAATAGTTCTTTCATATTCACAATTCGTTGAGAGTGTTTTAGGATAATACATGTAGAATATAAATTTTTTTAAAGGGGTAGGTTTAAATTTTAAAGAGGCTTGCCTCCAGTCAATTTTCTGTCATGTAGACGCTGATATCATATTATTTTCAAATCTATATTTTGGGAAAAAGTTACGATGGCAACACTATTCTGATGCTAAAATGATTTTAATATTAAAATTTAGGAATTGGAAGATTTTTAGCATTCACCAAAGGAAACTCTTTATTGAATATTTGAATCGTATTAGTAACTACTGATTCAAAGGAAATCATATAAAGAATCAATCAACTTAATAGAGCACGAGATAAGTAATATATCTAATACATCATACCTGCCAGTAAAATAGTAACTAGATGTTTATGTTTTCATTTCATATGATAATTTCGAAACGGTTGTCATGGAGCACAAATCATTATGTAATAACCTTTGTTAGTCTGGTCACTTAATTTTAAAAATAAATTATGTCATCTTTAGACAAAATAGCAAAATCCTTTAGGAGAATTCATAAAGAAAGATCACAGGTTTGCTAAGATATTTACACAAATATAAAATCTATATTTAGCCCGATAAACGAAAAGAATTCGGATTTTTACCCAAAAAATCAGATTACAAAAAACGCGCAAAGTTTAATAATCATTTTTATATTTAGAAGGTCGTTAATTTCTAGAAATCACCAACGACGTTCTAAGTTATTAAAGGTTTTCAAAGAGAAAGCTTACAACAAAAATTGGGATGAGTTTTATTTTAAGATGATAAATATGAAACCATCAAAGGTATGGATAACAATTTTATATAAAATTAAATTTAATCAAGGATGATGAAGAAGAAATCATAGAAAATAAACAAGATAAACTTTCTTATGAACAATCATTGTTAATTAAGACACAAGACTTAAATTATTTAAAATATAAAAGGAATATAAATTTGAAAGTTAATATTTAATACTTGTTAGTTTTATTCTCTTATTTTTAGAAAATTGATAAATTAAAAGAAGAAAATAAAAATGATACAAAATCACTTATAACGCATACATTATTTTATGATAAAGATGGTAGATAAATGTTTTATATTGCATTTATAATTTCATTTAGAACCCCTTCCAAAAGATAGATCAAATCTTTTATCATTATATAAAAAAGATGTAATTCTAATTCAATTAATATTAAACAATTTTTTACTCAGGATTTGAATGTAAATCAAAATAAAAAATCAAAACAATTACGTAAAAGATTACTTCGTGAACAAAATTTAAATTTATTGCAAAAAAGATTAGAAAATAAAAAGGATAAGGTTTAATATTTTTATTTTATATGAGAATATTTTTAATTTCATTCATTTATATGAATTTTATATTTCCTTATCAAATTATCTGCTATACATTTAAAAAAAAATTATTTTATCATTGAAGAGCAAAACATTCAATATTCGAGCTAAAGATGGAGCATTTATTACAATACCTGAAAGGAAATCTTGACATTTTAGCAATATTTATTTATTATATATATCATCTAAAGAAAGATACAATTCTTTATATTCATTTTACAAATAAATTTATTTCAATTATATTTTAATAGATATTATATAAATTATATTATCATATATCTTTCCAATGAAAAAAAAAGATTACAACCCCTGAGAAAACATAGTAAATCAAATTTAATCAATCATTATTACTAAAATAATATTATATGGAATGTATAAAAGAGGTATTTTATATTAGGCTGTCATGTTTTATTATATAAGATACCAATATTTTTTAAATTAAAACATATTGCAATGGGAATAAATTATAAAATAATATCTTATTCCTTCTTTATAACACCCATCAAAATTAAAAAGTTTTTTTATTGCATGTTTTTTGTGAAGAGTTTAAGAATCGAATCATTGTCCATATTCTCTAAGGTCTCAGGTTCTATGCCCAGTGCATGGGCTACATTAGTCATATTCAAGCCAAAAGACTTTAATAATGCAATAATGTCTAATTGCTGTCCTGTTTTTAAGTTTGTTAGTCTTGGACATGCCTGATTACAATGAGGCCATCGACATTTGTCAATTAATTTAAAACGACATTGTTTATTTGGGAATCGAAATTGTTTTAGTCTTAGTTTCTTTTTGCCACCATCTGCAAAAAAATAAACGATTGATTTTTATAATGATAGATTTATTTCATAGAGAATATTCGATTCGTTTTTTTGGATATGAATATTAAAAAAGTATTTATATTCAATCAGTATGAATAATTAATAATTCAATTTCGAATTCGTTTGTGAATTTTTAAAAAAAAATCTGCGCGATTTTCATCAACAAACACTTGTTTAAAATATATTAGGTTATATTTAAAATTCAAGGGGTTATAGCATAGCAATACTCGTGAAAGACTTCTTTCCACTAGAAACTTTAGTTACTGATAAAAAAAAATGCTAAGTAAAAATTACTGCCTTGCAAATTTAGTTTTTGTGGATCAAGATTTTATCAATTTTTAAAACCCAACCCCAAATTTATTTTTAAGCCAGTCCCGAGATTTCTAATTGAAAAATTTAAAGAAAACAAATTTTATATAATAATAAAAATAAATAATTGCGTATATCTGAGAAAATTTAAATTATTTTAATAGAAAATAAAATAATAATCTCGTAATAGATTATATAAAAAATGATTAGGAAGAAAGTTTGATTTGCAGATATAAAAAATGGACTTAAGATTTGTTAATATATATAAATATTGTAATAAACCCATCCACAAAGCTTCCAGAAATAGGTACAAGGAGAGCTGCTTAATGTAAGTTTATTTTCAAAGATATTGCGTGCACCACCCCGTATATTAATTGTAATTGGAAATTGTTCATAAGAAATGAATTTTAGAATCTAATTTTTTTAACAATTGGCATTGAGACCATCGAATAAATTGTCACGGAAATATATCTACTGGGTGGATATTAGGCATGATATCGGGGATCATATTAAAAGATATTGAATGTCATGATAGTTGTGTGTGCCAATTCATTATTGGATAAGATGCGCATGCCCATATATTAGTTTTATTTATCTTATGAAATATTAGTTTTTTTGGCTTTTAATAAATTATTAAAGGGGAGAGGAATAAATGGCTAGGTTTAAGAAACTGATCGTGATCCATAGGCAAGTCTAGGATTTTCCTATGGGAGATGAGCGCCACAAATTTTATTGGAGGTCTTTAATTCGATTTATTGTAGGGCCTTTGAGTATATTATATTTTTATAAAAATAATTTTGGGGTTTAAACTTATTTTTTTATAAAAAGTTTGATAGTCATTATTTTAAAAAGTTATTAACTTTTACTAAATTTTCTTTCAAATTCTTTTTTAATGAGTTTCAATTCAAATTAACCTAGAAAATTTAATGTTATGTTGATAAAAATACGCCTGTATGAAAATTAGAAATATATCGTTCAAAAGAATAATTATTTATTGTATTTCGGAAAAATGAATCGAATATTAATTGTGAAATAATTTCGAATATATAGAACAATAAACTACTTATTTCAAAAAAATCTTAAACTGACACATGAAACAATCTATATATTGATTAAATTGGGTAAAACAGTCACATTTTTTTAAAAGTGATCAAACATATCTGAAGATGAAAATAAATAGTTATAGGGATGAATTTCACTTTTTGTTCTATTTTTTCTATTGTCTTTCCGAGTCCTTTTAGATAAATGTCGTATTTTATTCCTCCTTCTTCTTAATCTATTTCTTTATGTAAACATAAATAAACATCTTAAAAAAAGGAATAAGTAATAATTACTGCTGCTTATATGAATGATATTCTTCCCAGCATTTTAAGGCCTCTGATAATGTCCATTGCTCAACTTTTATTAAATCCCAATTTCTAAATATATAAAAAATTATTATTGTTTACGATTCAATCATATAAAGTTATTATTTTACTTTTTGGTTAACACTCCATGTGATATGCAAGCCGGTGAAAATAGACTCCTACAATTAAAAATAATGATTTATGGATACATTTTTTTAAAAAAAGTTGAATTTCCAAACTAATCCAAATAATTTATATCTTTCTATCAATAATCAGTTACTTTAACCAGTTATAAATAGAAAATCTCTACTCCTAATTAGAGGTTTGCAAGGGGCTCTGCTTGTTTTTAACTTTTGGGTGGGTTAAAAATATAAACAATGTGTAGGCGAGCGAGTTAAAAAATATTATTTAAACGGGAGGTAGGGAGGGAAACTAGTTTTGAATAATTTAAGAAGCTATAACATTTTTTTAATTAAAAATCTTTAGTTTAATTTTAGAAAATGCATTGCATATGTGCAATGTTGTTAAAGCTACTTTTAGTTACAACTACTTACCAAATAGTAGCTTCGCTTTAAATTAGTTACTTTCTCAAAAATTAGCCTCAATGACTATTTTATATTTAAATGTATCTTAGCTACTTTAAAAAATATGTCTAAATTTTTTTCCCTTAAGTAAGGGTGAATAAATAAAACATTGCAACTTCAATTTAGTATTGTTAAACAGCTCGATTTAAACCAATTATTATAAACGATGGCAAAGTCTTCAAGTTAGCCCAATATTTTTCTGGCGAAAATATCGAGTTAGCCGTTTTTAAAAATCGTCGAGTCGATTAACAACACTACACCAATTATATATCTTTTTTATAATCGTAAATGAAATTTTTATCCAAATTTAAAATATATAGTAATAATATCACATAATAAATTATAAAAAAATATTAGTTATACATATAACTTAAATAAATATATTTATTTTTGCTTTTAAGAGAAGATGCCCCTCAAATTTTGAACTAGCAAGGAACATCTTTATTTACCAAAAACATTCTTTGCTAGAATAAATAATCTGGCAACAGTGAAAATTGAATGGGATTGGGGAAGTATATTTTATGAAGATTAGTTTTAAAAGAGAGAACTCTTTGAATATGATGAGGTCTGATATGGATGATCTCAAAAAATTTGTTTTATAATAAATATTATATCATCCTCATCGGAAGTTTTATCAAAAAATTTGAGGAAGGTTGGGTGATTTTTTTTGTTTAAAGATGATGAAATATATAGTTCCTTAGCTAATCTATGAATTAGCTTATCCTTGATTATTGTGTTCTAGTCTTAATCACGTCTAATTTTATTTAAAATACACGTAAAATACTCTTGAATATAAGTTAAATCAGATTTAAATATTTCCGGAGCTTGTTCAATTATATCTATCTCAAGTTCCCCATCTTTGTCTTGCCTTTTCCTAAATTAAATATCTAAATTAAATCTATATATATTTATGATAATGAATAAGGTGCCATCTTCCAAAATTTAAATGAATTAAATAAGTTAAAGGATTTTAATAAATTAATTTTTTTTCAAATATATTCATTTTATATATTCAAATTATAATTAAAAATTAATTATTATTTATCATTTTAAAAAGTCAATTAAATTTTATTTTAAAGTAGTTATTTTTTTTTTAGCTATAGCTACTCGAAATAAATAGGGGTGCTATTAATTATCTACTTTTTTATAAATAACATTGCTACCGATCGTTACTCAAAAATTATAGTGTCCTACTTTTAAGAGCTACTTCAACAGCATTACATTTATGCCACCGAAAAAAATTTTATTTAATGCAATGCGAAATTTATTATTGGAATAACATATTATTTGTAAATATATAAAAAAAAATTATTATTGAATAATTTTAAATCTATAGTTTTAAAATAACATAGTAAATTTTGTTAAAATAATCAAAGATAGTACAATTAACTAGTCCACGCTAGCCCTGCTATGAGCTAACAGTCTTTAAAAAATGAACAATGAGCGGGCTAGCAATTTCTTAAAACAACGAGCGAGTGAGTTAAACCACACCCTTTGCAGACCTCTATTCTTAATCATAAGTCTTACAAGACTCACGAGACGTTTCCAAAAGATAGACGTAATCTTTCTCCCATATTGTTAATGTAATCCCATTGATCTTTTCCCTCAGGTATACCCACTTTATCGACTATCATTTGTGCTTCGTCGAAAAGCCATTGAAATACGAAGAGTGGACCTAGTTTAAACGTGCATATCATTTTTTGATTAAATTTATGACTATTGTATGTAAAAATTTCATATACTTTTTAATGTTGACAAAGCATTATGTATGAAATAACATTTCCATCGTTCAGAAGAAGTAAATTTTGCGATGCAATTTATAGGTAAGTCACCATTCCAATAACTATTTTTTTTAAAATATAAATTAAAAAAAAAATCTTTTGTGATTAATTATTTTTTATGATGTGTTGTTACGATATAATACTTAATAACAGTAGGAAAACTTTCTATTTTGTTAATAATAAATATCAGAGAACCGTAAAAGTCAAATTTTAGACCCGGCTCGATTTAAAAAAATTTCATTTTCAAGCCGATTAGGATTTTTTATAAGTAATTTATTACCCGGCTCGAATTTTTTTTAAAAATATTTTTTTGCTAAGCTCGGATTTTTTAATTTTGATTATTCTACGGACCAGCCCCGATCAGAATTTTTAAAATTTCGTTATTTTGAATAGTTTTGGTTGTATATTGAAATAATGACCAGTAATAATTAATATTTTATTAAATGGCCTGAGTTTTATAAAATATATATATATACAGACACAGCTTTCCCTGATTTCATTTTGAAAAATCTTATTAC